CTCTGGGAAGATGAATAATATTGACAAACTTTGAGCTAGATGGATTAAGGAAAAAAGATGACTCAAATTATTAAAATCAGAAATCAAAATGGGGACATTACTAGTGAATTACTACTTGTTCAGAAATGAACAAGACTTGAAGAGTATACTATGAAAAACTGTATGCTAACAAGTTGGAGAACCTCCATGAAACAGACAAATTCCTAGAAATACAAAACCTACCGAGACTAAATCACAAAGCAATAGATAATCTGAATAGACCTATAACTAGTAAGGAGATTTAAGTCAGTAAGAAAAACTCACCCAACAAAGAAAAGTCCAGGACCTGGAGGTTTCACTGGTGAATTCCACCAAACATTTAATGAATTAATACCAATGCTTCTCAAACTCCCCCCCCCAAAAAAAAAAGTGGGGCGGGGAGAACACTTCCTAACTCATTCTATAAAGTCAGCATAACCGTGACACCAAAGTCAGACAAAGGTATTACAAAAAAACTACACACCAATATCCCTTTTGAACAATGATGCAAAAATCCTCAGCAAAACACAAACAGAATTCAGCAGCATTTAAAAAGGATTACACACCATGACCAAGTGTGATTTATTCCTAGAATGCAAAGATGATGGATGATTACACCACATGAACAAAATGAAGGGAGGGGGGAAACACATGATCCTCTCAATTGATTTACAAAAAGCAATGGACAGGGGCGCCTAGGTCACTCAGTCGGTTAAGCCTCCAACTTTGGCTCAGGTCATGATCTCCCAGCTTGTGGGTTCAAGCCCTGCGTTGGGCTCTGTGCTGACAGCTCAGAGCCTGGAGCCTGCCTCAGATTCTGTGTCTCCCTCTCTCTCACTGCCCCTCCCCCACTCATACTCTGTCTCTCTCTTGAAAATAAACTTTAAAAAAAGAAAGAAAGAAAAAGCATTTGACAAAATTCAACACCCTATTCAATAAAATAGGGGAAATTTTTAAAAGCTACATACAAGAAACCCACAGCAAACAGAATACTGAATGGCCAAAGACTTAAGATCAGGAATAAGGCAAGGATGCTCATTCTCACCACTTCTATTTAACACAGTACTGGAAATTCTAGTCAGAATCATTAGACAATAAAAGAAATAAAAGGCATCCAAACTGGGGGAGAAAATGTAAAACTATCTGTTTGCAGATAATATGATCTTATACATAGAAAACTCTAGACTCCACAAGGAAACTATTGGAGTAAATGAATTTAGCCAAGTAGCGGGATACCAAGGCTGTACACAAAACTCAAGTGCATTTCTATACCCAAACAATGAACAATCTTAAGAGGAAATTGTAAAAAACTCCATTTACACTAAAATCAGAAAGGATAAAAATACTCAAGAGATGAAAGACCTAACACGATGAAAACTACAAAATGTTGCTCAAAATAAAACATACATTAAAGGAGATACATCCCATGTTCATGGACTGAAAAGATTTAATATTGTAAAGATATCAATACTACCAAAAGTGATCTACAGATTCAATACAATCCCTATCAAAATCCCAATGACATTTTTTGCAGAAATAGGAAAACCCAAGGCACCTGGGTGGCTCACAGTCAGTTGAGCTATCGACCTGGACTGTGTCTCAGGTCATAATCTCACAGTTCATAAGTTCAAGCCCCACATAGGGCTCTGCGCGGACAGTGTGGAGCCTGCTTGGGATTCTCCCTCCTTCTCCTAGTTCCTCCCCTGCCGTGCATGCACTCTTGCTCTCAAAATAAGTGAGTTTTAAAAGAAAAAAAAATCCTAAAAATTCACATGCATATGCAAGGACCCTGAATTTTTTTTTTAAAGAGCCTGACCCAGAGCTCCATCCCAGGACTCTGGGACCATAACCTGAGCCAAAAATCAAGAGTTGGGGGGCGCCTGGGTGGCTTAGTCGGTTAAGCGTCCGCCTTTCGCTTAGGTCATGATCTCACGGTTAGTGGGTTCGAGCCCCGCGTCGGGCTCTGTGCTGACTGCCAGCTCAGAGCCTGGAGCCTGTTTCAGTCTGTGACTCCCTCTCTCTCTGACCCTCCCTTGCTCCCGCTGTCTCTCTCTCTCTCTCTCTCCTAGAAATAAACATTAAAAAAAAAAAAGAGTTGGATGCTCAACCGAGCCACCCAGGCCCTCCCCAAACATTTTAAAGTTTATTTTGGGGGGTGGGGCACAAGCAAGGGAGGGGCAGAGAGACAAGAAAGACAGAATCCCAAGCAGGCTCCAAACTTCCACACTGTCAGCAAATAATCTCACAAATCGCAAGATCATGACCTGAGCTGAAACCAAGTGTCAGATGTTTAACTGAGCCACCCAGGCGCTCCCCTGCTTTTTTAAAAATTATTTTGAGAGAAAGAGAGAATCCCAAATAGGTTCCACACTGTCACTGCAGAGCCCAACATGGAGCTCAAACCCACAAACTGCAAGACCATGACATCAGTTGAAATCCAGAGTCCTCAGATGCTTAACAGACTGAGCCACCCGGGTGCCCCACCTGCAAAACATTCTTAAAATAGAAAAACAAAAGTGGAGGACACACTTCTGATTTCAAAAGCTACTACACAAAGCTACAGTAATCAAAACAGTGTGGCACTGGCATAAACACAGACATAGACTGATGGAACAGAACAGAGAGCCCAGAAATAAACCCCTGCATATAGAACTCAAATGATTTTTGACAAGGGTGCCAAGACCAGTCAATAGGAAAAGAACAGTCTTTTCAACAAATGGTGCCAGGAAAACTGGATAGTCACATGCAAAAGAACAAAGTTGGATCCTTACCTAATACCGTATCTGTAAATTAACTCAAAATGGATGAAGGACCTAAATGCAGGACCTAAAACAATAAAACTCTTGAAAGAAAACAGGACAAAAGCTTCAGGACACTGGATTTGGAAATGATTTCCTTAATAGAACACCAAAATTTTTTTTATACCAAGAGACCTTATGAACAGACTAAAACAGCAACCCACAAGAGAAAATCTTTCCAAATCACATATCTGATGGGGAATTAATACCCAGAATACATACAGAACTCCTAAAACTCAACAAAAACTAAATAATCTAATTCAAAAATGGCCAAAGGGGGCGGGGGAGGCCAAAGGACGTGAATAGACCTTTTCCAAAGAAGGTAGATGAAAGGCCAATAAGCACAGGAAAAAAGCACCCCCCCCCCATCACTCATCGTTAGGGAAATGCTACTCAGCATCACACGGAGACGGCACCTTACACCTATTAGGATGGGGATCATCAAGGACAACAGAAAACAGGTGTTGGGCAAGGATGTGGACACATTGGAACCCTGTGCACTGTCGTAGGAATTAAAAATGACAAAGCTCCTGGCTCACTAAGGAGGTGGAGTGTGCGACTCTTCATCTCAAGACTGTAAGCTCAAGCCCTGCATTGGGTGTAGAGACTACTTCAAAAAAATATAAAAATCTTGGGTGCCTGTGTGGCTCAGTTGAGTGACTTCAGCTCAGGTCATGATCTCATGGTTCAGGAGTTCAGGTCGCACTTCAGGCTTGTTACTGTCAGCACAGAGCCTGCTTCTGATCCTGTCCCCCTCTCTTTGCCCCTCCCCCACTCATGCGCACGCACACGCATTCTCTCTCTCAAAAATAAACAATTTTTTTTAAAATACATAAAATTTTAGGGGCACCTGAGTGGCTCAGTTGGTTAAGCACCCGACTCCTGGTTTCGGCTCAGGTCACGATCTCACAGTTCCTGGGTTCAAACCCCATGTCTGGCTCTTCACTGACAGCACAGAGCCTGCTTGGGATTCTCTCTTCCTCTCACTCTGTCTCTGCCCCTCTCCAGCTTGCTCTCTCTTTCAAAATAATAAACAAATGTTAAAACACATTACACACACACATATATAGAAAATCTTTTAAAAAGTGTTAAAAAATTGTTTAAAAAATTGTACAGCCTCTGTGGAAACCGGTGTGTAGGTTCATCAAAAAATTAAAAATAGAATTACCATATGACGCAGAAATTCCCCTTCTGAGTATACATCCAAAAGAATTGGAAGCAGGGCCCCAGAGAAGTATCCATACACCTACGTTCATAGCAGCATTATTCACAGCAGCTAAAACACAGAAGCAACCCCGTGACCATCAACTGATGAGCGGATAAACAAAATGTGGTGTGTATAGGAAAAGGATTAGGATTCTGGCCTGAGGGGTGCCTGGGTGGCTCAGTTGAGTGTCTGACTTCGGCTCAGGTCATGATCTCACAGTTTGTGAGTTCGAGCCCCGCGTCCGGCTCTGTGTTGACAGCCTAGTGTCTGGAGCCTGCTTCTGATTCTGTGTCTCCCTCTCTCTCTGCCCCTCCCCTGCTGATGCTCTCTCACAAAAGCAAAATAAACATTAAAAAATTAAAAAAAAAAAAAAGAATTCTGGCCTGAAAAGGAAGGAAATTCTGCAGTTTGCTGTAACATGTATGAATCTTGAGGACATTATGCTAAGTAATAGAAGCTAGTGACAAAATATATATACAGTAAGAGTCCACTTATATGAGGTAGAGAAGTCGAAATCAGAAAGACAGAAGGTATAATGGTAGTTGCCAGGGGAGAGTGGGGAGTCATAGCTCAATAGGTAAAAAGTTTTGGGGCACCTGGGTGGCTCAGTTAAGCATCTGACTTTGATTTTGGCTCAGGTCATGATCAAGGTTTAGGAGTTCAAGCCCTGCATTGGGCTCTGCGCTAATAGTGCAGAGCCTACTGGGCTGGGAGTCCCCTCTGTCCCTCGCCTGCTCTCTCAAAATAAATAAACTTTAAAAAAATAGATAACAGTTTCAGTTTTACAAGATGAAAAGAATTATGGGGGTCAATGGTGGTGCTGGCTTCACAACAATGTGAATATACTTCCTACTACTGGACCGTACCCTTAAAAATGGCTAAAATGGCAATTTTTTATGTGCACTTTAACTCAGTAAAAAAAAAAAAAAAAAAAAAGAAATAATGACCATCTACAGAAAAGTATATAAAGAGGTATATTCACCTGATGGAAGACCACCTAACAATAATAATGAATGAATCGCACAAAGGACGCTACATGGATGGATCGTCCTGTGTTCAATGAAAAAATAAGACACAAAGGAACATATGCAGGATGATTCCATTTACATAAAGTTCAAAAGCGGACAAACTAAATCCTGTTGTATAAGGATCCACACAGGGAGACAGAATCCGGAGAGAGGAACAAAAGATGACCTCCAGGGGTTCCCCCTCTCAGCCCTGATCACCTTGGGGTAGGTGGGGGAGCTTTAAAATCTACCCCAGCCCGGGCTCCCCACCCACAGGTTCTGACTTCACGGTGTCTGCAGTGCTGGCCTCAGGCACTCGCTTCCAGAGCTCCCCGCCCGTTCCTAACGGGGGGACCAAGGTGAAGCTGCAGCCCTAAGGCGAGGGGAGGGGCGAATGCAGGGCCTCTGGGGTGCCGGCAGACACTTCCTTGCCTGGGGTGGGGGCTCACAGGTGCTGACGGAAGAATTCACTGTACACTTCTTGTACACCCTTCTCTGCAGCCGTCAGCTGTCTTTCTCCACGGCGTACACGTAGGTGTTCCAGGGCCCACAGCTCACGGCCCTTACCTGGAGCTGTGCATCTACAAAATACTCCACTCGGCGGGGCCGATCCAAGCTGCTCACGTCCGTGTGGCCAAGCTGCCCATATTTACCTACAGTGAAACGAGCTCCTTGGCCCTCCTCGCCACTGGACCTTGGGGCCGCCCCCCTCCAGGAAGGAAATTCAGCCCATCGACCGAAGTGCCGGGTCTAAGCCTCCACTCCGCCGGTGTCCACTCTGGGAGTTCAGGGGACCAGGCCACAGAGTCCTCAGGGCCAAGTGAAGCCACAGGTCCCCAAGGGGCAGCCCGCCACCAGCCGCTCCGGGCAAGATGCTCTTGCGGGTGGCCTGCTCCTCGCCCCAGATACTCAGAGCAGAGATTTCTGCTGCAGCTTTTGTCTCTCCCCAGTGTAGACCAACAGACGGGTCAACAGTGCTGTCTAACTACTCCCTTAGGACACTTTTTCAGAAAGAGAAACGGGAAGTACTAACAGCATCTCCTGTCTGGTCTCTGAGCTTCAGTGTACTTGGACCCGCTCTGGACAAGGTGATACACAGTTCAGTCCCCAACTTCCCGGTGGTCAGAGGCCCCTGCCTCCCCACGGCTGCGTGGCTTTCGTCTCCTGCCCTCCACCCCAGGGTCCCTTCCCCTCCCCCCAGTGGCTCAAGCATCACCGAGCAAACCCTTACTTACCCCAGCCCCAAGTGTAGAGCTCCCCGCTTCCTACAAGAGTAAGGGGCTGTCACAGGCATCTGTCTACACGGCCTGCCACAGCCCACTACCGCCAGCACCTTCCATGTGTCCTGAGCTCTGCTGGGCACAGCAAAACATCCCCCCTAACAGTGTGTAATCACATCCACGGTGGTAAAGGACTCGGGCTAAATCGGTTTACCTTCCTTTCTGCCAACTGAGGGGCTACAGCTCACAGCTACTGAGTTCAGGAGTCTCAGAGGCTGGACTGGGCAGGCCCGGCTCTCGGACAAAGGAGGCGAACGCTAGCCTCCCTCCAGCAGGGACCTTCGGGGCCTGCCGGCTGGGGACCTACTGCTGATCCCCATGGCGGTTGGGGCCGTAGTCACTGAAGTGACGCAGCTACTCAGGACGCATCAAAGACACTTAAAATAACAGTTTTTAGGGTGATCACACTCTTCTGCAGCGGGTGTGGGACAGGGTGGAGGGAGGGACTTCCTGCTCCTTCGTGACCCAGCCCCCCAGCCCCACTCACTGGTCACCACTGCCGTGTGCCGGGATCCACAGCTGGCCTTGACTGCGTCTGTGCCCAGGGGGAGATCCAGTAAAGCCGGGAAGGGCTGGATGGCTATGAAGGGGGCCGGGCCTCCATCCTCACCCCAGCCTGTTCTCCTCACGTCAGAACCGTCTTCCTTCAGGCCACTAGCTTCGGAGAAGCGGGAAGAGTGACGAGGATAATGGCAGTTCACACTGAGCACTGACCTACCCCTTATCCACACATGGGCTCATCCAGCACAACAGCACCTCAAAGCACCTTCCTGTCCACACCCCCCCTGCAACCCCGGGGACGTGCTGGGGTTGACAGGTCCGCAGGGAGCATGGTGCTGACGCACCAGCCTCGCCGTGCTCCCGTCCCTAGGGGCCCAGCGTCCTGCAGCGGGTCCTGGGGTCCCACGGATGGCACGTGTCCCTCCTGAGCGCCGTGGGGTCTCAGGCCAGCATACGGCCAGGAGTTGGGACCGAGAGAAACAGCCATAGAATGACGCTCACCTTCCCGGGCAGCGGTCTGGCCATCCTCTGCCAGGCTCCTGCTGGGCAGGGCCAGCTGCCCGGATTCGTTCCAGCCCCAGATATAAATATCGCCAGTCTCTGGAAAAGAGACAAAGGGGACCCATCAATTAGACTGTAAACCCCTCACAAACCCGGAAGTCCCCTGAATCCACCCGAACTCCCTCACGCCCACTAGCTCCCTGGGGACAACTAATGCATGGCCTGCCCCAGTCAGCACCCCTGCACAGCCTCCCTCAGGCCCTGGTCTTTTTTTTTTTTTAATGTTTATTTATTTAGAGTGAGACGGTGAGGGAGGTGGGGAGGGGTAGAGAGAATCCCAAACAGCCTCTGCACTGTCAGCGAGGTGGGGATCGATCTCGAGAACCACGAGGTCATAAGGCAAACTGAAATCAAGAGTCCGGACACTTGCCTGACTGAGCAACCCGGGTGCCCCTGGACTCACACCAGCTTGCACAAACCTACCATGATAACAGCCCTGTGGCCTGAAGCCTTCCGGAGCACAGCCCCTGACACACTATTCTAGATCGCACACACAAAAGTCGTTAGGGACACTTTTGGGGCATAAGGTCCTTGGATCTGCTCTGGAGATGGGACTGACACTTATCTATTCTCAAACAGCCTCCTCCAGGTGGCCTCCCTAGCATGGACTCCCTAGCCTCGAGGGCTATAAAAGCAGGTCTGAAGGGAGGTGGGGCCGCAGCCAGCTTGCAGCCGCCTGAGACACACGTCTGTAAGTAAACGGTTTCTTGTCCAGCTGGACTCAGCCTTTTTCTTTGATCTACAACTTCTTTGGGGTACATTTTGCACAAACTTCCCTTTCACAAAACGTCCCACAACACACACTTCAGAAATATACCCCTGGAAGCTCCCCCAGGGCCTCCCTTTCAAACCCACGGAGCCCGCACGCTTTGTTCAGCCCCCTCCCCCACTGGTCCAGCTGAAGGCCTTTTCTGGAAGCTCTAACCACCGCCCCCCCCCCCCAACACTACAGTTTGTTGGCTGGAGCAACTGGCCCTCATGTAAAAATCCCCTAACAACTGTAGCTCATTTTTATCAAGCCTTCCACCTGTGCCAGTGCTTTTAAGCACTTTTCAAATACAATCACTTAATCCTCAGAACAGCCGTGCAAACGGTCACGTGACCACACCCCCGTTCTATTCATGACAAGACACGAGGCACGGACAAGTGACCTGCCCAAGGTCACAAGGGGCAAAGTGATGACGTGAACCTAGAAGTCTAGGCTGAAGCACCTGTGCTCCAAACACTCTGAGAAACTGAAGGCTTCCAACTCCTTCCGACCTTAAGTGTTAGACCTCCCATCCGGCTGTTTCTAGTCTTCTCTTCCCTTCCCTCTGGCCCGGTAGTTTTCAAGTCTGGTTGCCAACCCAGGCCCATCACGCGAGACTATGAGGGGCGGGGGTACATGCAGAAGTTGCTGTTAAAGCTGCCGCCGACCCCGGGGATGTAAGTGGCAGCCAGAGCCACAGATGCAGACCCTTGAACAGATCATCTGCTCCCCCCCTCGACAGCCCAGGGATCAGCGGCAGCTGGGGCCCCACCAGGGCGGTGAACTTACAACCCAAAGTGAGGGTCCTCACTCTGGGCCCACCCTCGCCACCCTGTCCTCCCTGTGGGCATCTGAGCGTCCACTGTGGGTCACACGTCACGGCAGCCTTTCTTCTCCATTCTTCTTGGCTTGGCCGGCCCCTCAACCCTTCGTGCGCCTCTGCAACGTTTCAGTAAGGCAGCCCTGGCAGAGGGATGGGAGGCGGGGGACTCCGACAACAGAAGATAGGCAACAGTACCAGTGCGAGAGGGTAATGGCCATGGCAGAGAGGCCGAGTTTTTAAAAAATGTTTATTTTTGAGAGAGAGTGCCTGAGAATGCACTCCTGCGCCGGTGGGAGGGTGGGGGTAGAGGGAAGAGAGAGAGAGAGAATATCCCAAGCAGGCTCCACTCTGGCAGTGCAGAGCCAGACACTGGGCTCCATCTCACAAACCCTGAGATCATGACCTGAGCCGACATCAAGAGTCAGATGCTTAACCAAATGAGCCACCCAGGTGCCCTAGAGAGACTGAATTTGAGAGGCATGTAGGGGTCATGAATGACCGAGTGGATTAAGGTAGGATGAACTTGGAAGGAGGCCTGGCTAGGCTACCTACCAAAACCAGAAAAGAAGGAAGGTTTGGAGCCCTGGAGCCCCTGAGTCTGTCTGGAGAGGCACCAGGTCACTTACCACTCACACACACAGAGTGCCAGCCCCCTGCTGCCACCTCAGCCATGGGGACGCCCTGCAATGCCTCCAGCAGCCTCGGCTCCAGCTCAGCCTCTAGAGTCCCGTGGCCCAGCTGTCCATGCCTGCGCAAGGGACACCCCAATCAGGGCTCCCCTTCCTTACCCTAGTCACACTCGACTCGCGCCCATATGGTCACCTCCCACTCGGAGCCACGTTTATCTGCCCCCGCCCGCCCGCGCAAAAAGCCCACAGGCCTCGCCTGGCCACGCCCCCCTCACCTGGCCACGCCCCCACTCACCTGCCCTGGCCCCAGGAGAACACCTGGCCCGCCTCGTCCAGCAGCAGCGCGTGCTCGGTGCCCAGCTCCAGCCGGCGCGCCCGCAGCCCCGGGGCCAGAGGGCTGTAGAAGGGCGGCCGCGGACTCACGTAGGCCCGCGCGCCGGGCAGCAGGGGCAGGGCCCCGGCCTGGGGCTCCCCGCCCGGTGCGTCTTCCCCTTCGGCCTCCGGAGCCAAGGTGTGGACCCACAGGGGCTCCCCGCTCAGCGCCGAACCCGGTTCCCAGACCTGCAGCTCCGGCCCCGACCCGCGTCCTGCGCGCAGCACCACGAGGAGCGCCTCCGAGGCCCACGCGTCCCTGCAGCCGCCCGCCGCGCCGCCCGCGGAGCCCGACAGCTCCAGCCGGCCTCCACCTGCGGGGGTTAGAGGGGGCGCTGGGGAGCCGGCAGGCCACGCACCCCGGGCCCGGACCGGAAGGGGGCGGAGGGGGGGCGCTCACGGGTCACGAAGGCGGTGTAGCTCCAGCTCGCGCTCACGCGGCAGACGTCGGCGCCCTCGCCCGGTGTCCGCAGCGGCTCGGGGCTGTGCACCTGCCGCCCGCGCCCCGAGCCCAGCGCCTGCCCGAAGCCGCAGAAACCGAAGCCGAACCAGGACCCCCGGCGCTCCTCGGCCATGCTCTGGCGGCGCCCTCTGCTGGCCGCCTGCTGAACGGGGTGGGCGGCGGGACAGGGTTAGGCATCCTACCACCAGATTTAGGAAGATCATTCTGGGCTGCCTAGAATGGGGGCGCTTTCCCGGTCTCCCCTTTAACTCCAGCAAGCTCGGCGTCCCCCAGAGTGGGCACCAGGTATTGAAGCGGCCTCTCTCTTAGACGCTGGGCCCATCTGAGCCCCTCCGGCTCCAAATTCCCAGTGTCAGACACGTTACCCCGTGTCACCTGGGGAACCAGAGCCCTCCCCCACCATTTGAGAAAGGAGACCCCCAGAGAAAGTAGCCTTTACACAACCACACACAGTGCTCTTCCCCCCGGCGCAAAGCGGAGCGCGTGGGAGACAGTGCGCTGTGCGGGTTACGACCCGCTCCAGGGTTCACACGTTGGCCTTGCAGGTGCCTGGGTCCTTGGCCAACTTACTTAAGCTCTCGATTCAGTTTCTTCAGTTTTACGAAGGCAGGGGATAGGAGAAGATGCCGCCTGCCCTGTGTGGAACAGATGGAAAAGAGGGTTTAAGTACTGGCACACACCACGATAGGCTTAGAAGGGAAGTATTGGCTTCTTAAATCCAGTACTTAGAGATTTAAAAAAAAAAGTCCAGGGGTACCGGTTTTCCAGGGACCTTTATAAACAATTTCAACTGGACCTCACCCAGTCATTTATTCGTCCTACAAGCATTTATCGATACCTTGGTCTGGGCCGATGAGAAAGACGGCTGTCTGTCCCCAAGGAGCTCACACATAAATGGGGAGACAAATACACAGTCCAGTGGTTACAAAAGCAACGTCGCTTTTTCCGTACAGCATGTTCGGCTTGGTCAGGATTTCACAGACGTTTTCAAGCGTCTGAAGTCAGCTCCTGGGTCCCTCCTGCAACCAAAGCTCCTTACCTGAACCTGGGCTCCCAGCCCCTTCCGTGTAGTCCCAACCCAAGGGGGCCTCTGACCTTGTCCCTTACCCTGTGCCCTCCACCCTCTCGGGCAGCTCCTTCCGCCCGGCACTCTCGAGGGAGGAAAAGCGGGGGCGCAGCGCAGCCGCCCAGGCACCGGTTGCCAGTCCTGGAAGGACCCAGCTGACAGCCGCCGCGGAGGAGAGGTTTGAGGAGCCGCGTCCCGGGCGAGGCGCCCATTGGCTGCCGCAGCCTCCCCCGGCCAATCGCCGGCGACAGCGGTGACGTCAGCGCTCGGGGCGCGGGGGCCGCTGGGCGGTGCTCACCTCGCTGCCCGCAGTCCGCACCGCGGCCTGTCCAGCCCAGAGCTCCGTGGAGCCGGCCCCGGGGCTTGCGCTGGGCCGCTGCGCCCTCGGTGTGAATGGGTTAACCTCCGGTGGGCGCGGGCCCAAGGCAGAGGTCGGGTCGGACGGTCTTGCCCCGCGGGGGGCGATGGAGTTCGGGTCAGAATCCGAATCGAAGGGCTGGCGGGGAGCGACTGCGGAGACGCGTGCTCCCTGTCATTCCCCTCGCCGGGACCGCAGCGGCTCATCCACACGCGCGCGCGGGGCCTATGCCCAACAGGAAGCAGCTGTGCTGGGCGGGCGCCTTGGCGAGCTTGGCCTCCCATTGGCTCGGGACCTGTCACTCACCTCTGCTAACCAATGATCTTCAATCTGGGCTCCCAGAACGGAAGCAGGCTTCTCGCGGACTCTCCGCCCCGGCAGGTGGGGGAGCTCTTGCTCTCGCCTGGTTCAGCCAGAGATCTACCCCCCCAACCCCCCACCCCCAGGGAAGAGCATGCCCTGAGGCGGCACCAACCCCAAATCCAGCGCACGGCCAGAGTGGAGGCCACTGGGAATTCTCAATACAAAGACAAAAATACTGAAGGGGCAGTATCTAGGAGTCCAAACCCATTTATTCCAAGAGATGGAACAGATTTTTTTTTAATTAGCTGCCTAGGTTTACCCCTTGACCCTCGAACAGAATTAAAAAGCAACTCAGCAGGCTCTCGGGTGGAGAATCCATTGGCTTCCTTCTGTACCGTGGCTCTGCTGTGCACTCTACCAGGCCTGGCTCACAGCCAGCCCTCCCTGCCTAGGGACAGGGCACACATTTCAGTTCCATATACTTAGAGGGTCGAGGCACTGCCGCTAGCAGGTCAGGAGATGCTCTCAGTTGGTGAGGCTGCGTGATGTGCCCTTTCCCAATTCCGGGAATCCACAGGCCGGGTCAGGGTATAACGTGCCCCCTCCCCAGCGGTCTACAGGACAGGAAAAGGGCCCTGCTGCGTGAGGCTGGAGGCAGTGCTGGCAGAGCAGGGCTGTGAATGAGTGTGGTCCCTGACTTAGCAGAGGACATCAAAGGGCAGCTACAGAGAAGCCAGCGTGCAGCACCCAGCCCCCAGCAGCCCCGGCCGTGTATGTCCTCACTCCTCTGCTGCAACAGGGGGCGTATGCATGCGGCGGCCCCTCACTCTCCGTCCTGGTTGGGTTTGATAAGCCCGTATTCCACCGCTTTTGCCAGGCAGGCTGCGGCAGCCCTGGTGACCGGGCCTTCCTTGCCCTTGGCCAGCACCGACAGGATCTCCAGCACTTCGCTCTCCATCAGGGTGCTGGCGATGTCTTTCGAGGCCTCCACCATGTTCAGTGCCACCACGGCCCCCCGGTGCTGCAGCTCCTGGCTGGGGCTTAGAAGCAAGGCCTGCAGGATCTCCAGCCAGTGTGTGGTCTGTGGGAAACAGGGCAGTGCCACCGCTGAGCAACAGGCTCAACCCCGGCAGCAGAACAGCTGCCCTGAGATCCGCCCCCTCCCCCAACCTGCCCGCAGGGAGCTCCTGGCCCAGCTTCCCTCCCCCACCGAGGCACTGACCACTTGGGGGATGCGGCTGCAGAGTGACGGCCGCATGGAGGTGAGCATGGCCAGGCCCCCAGCAGCTGCCCGCCGCAGCAGCTCGTCGTCCTCCCCGCTGTACAGCACCAGCAGCTTCAGCCGGTCGTTGCCCGTGGCTTCAAAAAGGTCCTGCACCTGCGGCCAGATGAGGAGAGGGGGCGGGGTCAGCTGGGGCAAAGCCAGCCGGGACACAGGTACTTCTGCACGCCTGCCCGTCGCGATCGGCCCGCCCCGCCCTCACCTCTTTGCTCATGGCCAAGTTACACATGCACTCCGTGGCTGCCCGGCGGATCATCTCGTGCTCCTCGAACATATAGCCCTCAATCATGGGCACAGCCTTCTCCTTCAGGATCTTCTGCCTGCAGGGCCAAGGGTGGAATGGTCAGCATCCTCAGAGCCTCTGCATCCACCTCCCTGACCCCAGCATCCGCACACAATCGAGCCCCAGGCCAAGGATTTCCCAGGTAGTATCCAGAGAGCCTCCTACACCGGATATGAACAGCAATGCTTTGCAGCTTCTTAAGCAGGCCTGGAAGAGAGCATGGGACCGCAGAAAACGCTCTACAGTAGGAGTTAGGAGACCGGCGGGGGCTGGTGATGGTGACGCTCACAACTAACATTTAAGCACCTACCCTGACCCAGAATTTGGAATGTCTTTCTTAAAGGTGCAGGTAGGATTATTGTTTTGCATAAGAAGAGACCGAGGCCGAGTCATGGTTAATGGGCCCAATATCACAATCAGTAGTAACAGCTGACACATATTGACCGGGCACGGTCCTGGGAGCCAGGTTCTGCTTACTAAGTGCTTTTGCCTGCATTTTCTCATTTACTTCTCCTTGCTACTACCCCTATAGTACCTGTTGGTACTAGAACCATCTCATTTCACAGAAGGGAAACTGAGGCACAGAACAGCACTTGTTTGAGGCTGCATACTGGTAAGCAGTAAGGTCAAGATTTAAACCCGGGCCGTCTGACTCCAGAGCTTGCACCGTCGCTGCCCAATGCCTTGCCTGCTCGTGGGACGCTGTACTAGTCAAACCTGGCCTGTCTCCCCAGCTGTATAATACACAGAGGTCACTGCGAAGCTCAAATAAAGCAATGACCCAAGAGTGCTCTTCAGACTGTCAAGTGCAGTCCTGGGGGAGAATGCCCTCCCTGCCCAGGTCCCCCCTCCCGAAGGACCTTACCGGAGCCTCTCACTGATCCCTGCCAGGTTGGTCAGAGCCATGAGTGCCTCGAAGTTCTGCAAGCCTGAGCAGTTGAGGTGCAACAGGGAGACGAGGGGCCGGACCACTTCATAGATCTGTGATACATCCACCTGTCAGGGCTACTTGCCCTGCCCCCACTGCCCTAAAGGGGAGAGTCCACCCCCCACAACCCCCCAAGAGAAGGCTGTCCTTCCCACCAGGGCTCAGCAAAGCTGCCACGTCCTGTCAGTCCCAAGGACAAGCCACACCCAGGTCAGAGGCCACCAGGACCCAGGGACAGGTGGAGAGGCCAGGGCTGGGCAGCAGGACACATACCCGCTCACCAGGAAAAGTCATCTCTGGGTTGGAGGTGATGGTGAGTTTGGCAAGAGCCTGGGCTGCCTTCGTCTGCCCCACATCAGTGCCTTCCAGGGCCAGCGGGAGCAGAGCCTGTGGGGACAAGCCCATGAGTGTCCGGGATGTGCCCTGATGGGTAAGGCCCAGACCACAAGGCCCTGAGCCCTGACACGGTGCTCACCTCTCTCTACCCCTGGGCTTGACCACGTCTGCTCAGACCGTCTTCACTTCTCTCAGGCCTCCCCACCTAAGCTGCCCAAATACTTTGGGAAACACCTATTAAGGGCCAGCCATGGCTTATGCTGGGCCCCGGGCCATGCAGGTCAGTGACATGGGGGAGAGGAGAATTCAGGACCTGAATGGGCACAAACCCGCCTCATCGGCGGCACTCACTCAGCAGGAAGACGTTCCTGCCGGTCACTCGTAATGCCTTCCGGCCTTGTCTCTGGTGTAGTGGCCACTGAGTCACGTTTTCTAGACCATCAGGAAGGAGTCTGTAAGCCAGCTTACCTTGCCCCCTCCCTGAGCAACCACAGTGCCACGGTCTTCTACATCGTCCACCAAAGCCAGGAAGACCCTGAGGGGAGAGGGCGCAAGTGGGCGGGGGCCAGGGCTCTGGGCTCAGCGAAGGCAGGAAGCTACGCGGTGGCCCGCAGCCCCGGGGCCTGCTCCTCCGCAGTCACACGGAGGCCCCGGGGCTCCTGGATGCACTGAGGTGGGCTCACCTGGAGAGCAGCTCTCGGCAGGAATTAGTCAGCACGGGGCTCTCGGTCTTGACCATGCACGTCATGGCTGACACCACGCCCGCGGCCAGCAGCTTCTTCACCCGGGCTCGCACAAAACCTGGTTTGTCCTGGGTGGCGAAGCAGCTTATCAGCAGAAGGGCCTCGGCTGACAAGACAGGGAAAGCGGGACCCTCCTCACAGCACAAAGTGATGAACACGCGTACAAGGGGAAAGAAGCCCGCTCACACGGAAGGATGCTCTGGTTGCCCCAGGTCAAAGGGTCCCAAAGGTTCAGAGGCCCCCAAAGCCTCTCTGAGGCTCCCTCACCTTGGGGTGCTGCTCAGGCACGTGCTGCTTGGCATACTTGGCCAGCTCCACCATCTTGGGGTCCGGCTCCTCGTAGTCGTAGCTGTTGGTGCAGTTCACCAGTGCCGAAGCCACCGCAAAGAGCACCGACCTCTCCTCGGACTGCGGGCAGCAGAGGGGCAGTCAGTCGGCCATCCCAGGGCAGAGGAGCAGGGGATAAATGCCACCCAGGCCCCGGACTCTACCCTCGGCAGGACCTCTCAGGCACCGGGATGAAGCTGGGAGCCTCCCGGGCCCAGCCTGGCCCCAGACTTTGGGAGCTCAGGCACTTGACCTCCCGAACTCCTCCAAAGAGGCCATCCATCCTGACGCTGTGGGAGCAGCCCAGCAGGCTATCGCCACAGAGGGGTCATGCGGGCTGCCGGCCCTCCCCCGCCCCGCCCCAGGGTAAGTTCTAATCCTAGACACGTTCCCAGGGGACTACAGGAGGCCACGGGGCTACCCTGCTGAGCTGGAACAGAGCCTTCAGGGCGGCCTCATCTTCCACAAACTCTTCCTTCACATCGGCGTCGAAGGTGAGGTAGGCCAGGCCCTCGACTGCCCAGCGCCGGGTGCCTGCATCGATCTGGTCATTGCACAGCCACCTGGGGACACGCGGGGCAGCAGATGACCATCAGAAGGGGGTGGGGGAAGGGGCGTGCCAGGACCGAGGGGGGAAAGCCATGGGTTCTCGCAGTCCCCTCCACACATGTGGAGGGATCCAGGAGGGTCTGCCTGGAGGAGAGCAGGGTCACCAGGAGGCCCCGCCCTCCACCCCGACCTTTCTCTTGAAGTTGGGGAGCCATGGCAACACCAAATAACTCACTTGCGACACTGCTTAGCCAGTTTGAGAGTAGAGCCTTCGGCAAACTGCTTCATGCTGAAGTCCGTCCCTCCGGCCGAGCCGAGCTTACACAGCCCCTGGGGGAGATGGCGACAACCAGCCACTAGTCTCCCGGGATGGAGGCAGGGGTGGGCTCCCTGTACCCGGTTCTCTCCCTGACATGCTGCCGGGCCCTCTGGAGGCCACGCACACCCACCCCAGGCCACCACCTAGAGCACTGGCAGCAGACCGGCTGCTGGGCTGGCCACTGGGGAGACTGGCGTGTTGTCCCTGTGCAGTCCTGGGTCCCAGCCCCTCCATATCTACACTGGGACTTGCTCTGTTCCTTTCCGTGTCAGACAAAGAGGCCTTTACAGCTGGAGCTATGACACGTCTGGGGAGAAGACAGGGGCCTCAGCCAAGGCAAGATCCTTCCGGGACGGGGAAATCCAGGACTGAGTGCCCCAAGGAAGACCAACTTTCCCGAGCTGTGTGGAGGCCAACCAGTGCCCAAGCCGCCAGCGCCTGGGGCCACCTGCACGCCTGGCCTTTCCACGCGGCCCCTCCGAGCGGCCTGGCCCGCGGTCCTCCCCCTCCCCCTCCCCCATCTCCCCCTGGAGCTTCTCCTACCACCTCTGGGGGGGCGGCACGTGCCGCCCTGGATTCTCAGGGGTCCCCTCGGGGCGAGGCTCATCTCCCTGACTGGACCATGAGCCCCATAGTAGAGGCAGTCAGGGCGCATGCCTCGGGCCTCGACAAGGCCCTGCATGTCCCATATTTTCACCAGCGTGTGCTGGAGCCACACCCCAAGATGCCGGCCACCCGGTACCCCTGCCCGCCCGGGCCAGGCCCGCGCGTCTCACCACCAGCGCCCGGATCCGGATGCTGTCCTTCTCACTGCGCTTGTACAGGTCCTTCAGCAGTGAGACGCCGTTGGCGGTGATGAAGGAGGCCCGCTTGGCCTTGCCGGCCGCGTGGATGAGGGCCTCCACCGCCACCAGCTGCTCTTCCTCCTGCTCGGAGGCGCACAGAGCGATCACGCTCTCCATGACGCCACTCAGCTCCAGGGCCCGGTTGCCGGCTTCGCACGGGCCCTGCAGGAGGCAGGACACCGTCTGGATGGCCCGCAGCTTCCCGGCCAGCCCTTGGCCCTCAAACCGGCTCCTGGGGGGCACAGGGTGACAGCTGTCACGCCGAGGCTGACAGAAAGGGACTCTCCTTCCCTCCCTCCCCGTACACTGGCCAGCCGTCTCCACTACTTGGGCAGGAACAGCAAAAGCCGCCAACGGGAAGGAGAGGACGGTCCCCTGGATGCTGGCTGCGCACTTTCTCTCTCTGGCTTTCCAGGCGTCCCCTGATCATACGTCTGCCATCGGTTACCCCCGCTCACACCACTGTTTCCTCCTTTCCTGTGCTCGTGAAGATCTGACGTCGTTCTGCTTATTCCACGATTTGTCTGCAGCCCTTTCCCCCGCCCCCCGTCCGCTCCCTAAGGGCATGAGGACTGTCACGCTGCACTGCCGTGTGGGAACAGGTACACAGCAAGCACTCAGTGAGCACAGGAGTGCTCAAGGACACTGCTGTGGCGGAGAACAGGTCACAGAAAGAACGTCCCTGGGGAGGCCACTGCGGGAAAAGTGGTGTCCCCATCCCCTGTAAGGCCTCCCCAAGGCTGCTCTTCTGGCTGAAAACCTTTCCCTGCTGTCCCTCCCCGAGGGGTCAGGACTCCTGTCGGAGCCCCTGGCAATGGGACGAGGGGCCAACTCCCTTACTTGATGTAGTTTTCGCAGAGTCGGTGGAAATTCTCCCTCTCAGCATCACACTTCAGGTCATCGAAAAGCTTGCTGAGGAGGACGGAGGCGCTCATGCGGCTGTTCGCCGTCACCGTGAGTTCCCCAGCGGGATCCTGCACAGAGCCCCCCACCTCCAGAATCTTCTTCAGGCCTGAAAAGACACACTACTTAGGCAGCAGAATCCTAGTTCCGAATCCTAGCGGCAAAGGGAGGAGTTTCGTGGGAGAGGCACAGAGAAGGGGACCTCGGACAGCATGGCCAGCTGACCCACCACTGCCTACAGAGGCGGCTCTGCGGTTGGGAAAAGGAACTCAGAAGCGAGGAGTACATGGGGGCGCCTGGGGGGCTCAGTCGGTTAAGCGTCCGACGTCGGCTCAGGTCATGATCTCACGGTCCGTGATCTCGAACCCCGCGTCGGGCTCTGTGCTGACAGCTCGGAGCCTGGAGCCTGGAGCCTGCTTCGGATTCTGTGTCTCCCTCTCTCTCTGGCCTCCCCAACTCGTGCTCTGTCTCTCTCTTTCCCTCTCTCTCTCTCTCTCTCTCTCTCTCAGAAATAAACATTAAAAAAAATTAAAAAATAAATAAAAATTTAAAAAAGCGAGGACTGCATGGTGGCCCTGCCCATGGGGCTAAATGCTCTGGGGGTTCTAAGGCTCTTGGTCTGTCAAACCAAAGGGGAAAATAACACCCATACCTCACACCATGATTGGGACACTGAAGGATGAGCCCCCAATAAAGGTATTCATGCAGGAACTTTGCTAAACCTTCTTTCCTTACCTTTTAAGGGAAAAGAGAAGTACGAATTAGGTAACGAACATATGCGTGTGCAGGTACGTATGTATGTATTTAAATACTCTTTCCAAGGACTCTCTCTGCCCAATGCAAGGCTCGAACTCATGACCCCGAGATCAAGAGTTGGCCTGTTCCACCGACTGAGACGGCCGGGTGCCCTGAGAAGTATGAATTTATATAGGGAACTTTTAAATATTTTTCTCTGCGTGTAGAAGTAATGTACGCTCACTGAAACTCCTTCAAACACAGAAAGCTGACCAAGCCTCCCCATTACCCTGCAGACAGGCCTGCACGATGTGTGTGCATGCGTGCATGTGCGCATGCTCACGGCTGAAGGGTCTCACTCTGGGCTCCCTAAGCCTACGATGCAGCCACAGGGTGCACTGCAGGGCAGACACGTGGCGGGGAACAGTCTCCACCGGGGATAGCTCGGCCCAGTCACGCACGCAAGATGGAACACGTACGCTGAGTATCCTTGCCCTTCTTTAAAAGTGATCGCCTACCTTGGTCAATGACCCAGAGGGTGAGGCTGTTGTTGGGGTCCTTAAGAGACTTCCGGGGCACTGTTTTAATCAGGAGGGTCAGAGCGTTGTCCCGGCCTTGACCAGAGACCCCCGCCTCGGTCAGTAGCTCCAAGAGGTTACTGATGAGGACCTTCAGTTCCCGGGCAGGGTCTGGCAACGAGAAGACATCGGTGCTCTGCAGCGGCCCAGCTTTGCCCCACCCCTGAGCTTCCCCGGCAGGCCAGGGAGGCACAGGAAAGGGAGCCCCGCATCCTGGGCTCTGGGCTCCGGCCTTCCCCGCAGGTATCCTGGCTGCCTAGAATCTAGAGTATAATACTGTCCCCACGCCGAAGTCCTGAACAACCCACAGCTGCAAAGAGCCGGCTTGTCTGGCTGAGCCCCCTTCGCCTCCACGAACATAACACCCACAGGACCGCTCACCTACAATGATGGCGCCTTCCTTGCCTCTGAAGCCTTTCTTGACGCCTTCCTTGAGGGCATCAAATATAACCTGCAGCAGGTGGCAGGCAGCCAGGGACACGGCCTGGTTTTCCACGCCCAGGATGGAGACCACCCGCCGAGTTCCCAGCACGCTCAGGGTAGCCACAGTCTGCGTGGGACAGAGGGGGACAGAGCCTCCAGTTGGTGAAGGGCAGCCACAGAGACCCCTAAGCGTGGGTCGTGAGTGTGGCCAGAGGGGGAGAAAAATCTGGGTGGAAGGACCAGCTCCACGTGGAATCAAAGTGGGCCTGAGGGTGCGATCAGAGGTAAGGTCAGGATTACTCTGCTGGAAAGGCTGACTAAAGAGAGCATTCCAGAAGCGTCCACCGCTGCCTCTCCTCTCCTCAACTCCAGTCAAAGGGGACAAGGAACACGAAGGCCCCGGGAGCAGCTGCTTTGGTTCACATTTGCCCAGCAAGGAGTCACGTAAGCCTGGACAAGCTCCGGGACTCCACATCCAGGGACACCCGGGTCCCTTCTACGGCCAACCATGAGGCTCTATCTCCAGTCTGGGCACGTGGATGTGCGTGGAATATCCAAGGCTGGATATTCACACTGGTTCACACTGGCACAGGCAGGGAGGCAGGAGGAAATAGATGGAATTCACATGGTTTCATGACTCTTAGTCCTGGGAGACCCAGAAATACCACCTCAGCTTGGCCCAAACATCTTTCCCAGAATGTCCCACAGCTCTGTCCCTGATCTAGGAACCACAGGAGGCTCCGGAAGGAAGCAAGGCTCGGGTCCCTGTCCCCTGGGGCCAGCCAGCTCAGGCCAGAGCGAGGGCACGGACTTCACCAGGGCAGGGATGTTCTTGCGGAACTGCCTGTGCTGGACATGCCCCGTCTATGCAGAGAATCCGTTCAGGGTCAAGCCTCGCCTGTGTAGTCACTGTCTCGATGGTCCAGATGCTGTGGGTCGTGTCACCGACCACATCCTCTGCTCGAGGACACCCCGCAGGGGAAACTGGTTTGATGGTCAGGGAAGGACAGGGACCCTTCTCCTCGTAACCAGCTTGCTCTCACTGTACGGATGGTGCAGGAGTCTGGGACCAGGCGCGTCCAAGCCGGCCACAGGCAAGCCCAGCCCAAGCTTGTAAGCCTCCTAACGCAAGGGCTCGGGGTATCAGTGGGCTGCTTTTGCTCTTTACAGGCCCCAGTTCATCCCAAATCACGTGGGGCTTCTTTGAGACATTTTAATTTTTCCTCTCTTGTTACAGGTCTCTTTGTACTCTGCTTTCGGTTCTTCTGGGAATACGGTGAAGGGTGGGCGGAAGGAGGGACAGACAGATTGACTGAGGCAGTAACCCTGACCCTCTGCCCCACCTACCCGCGACTGGTGCTCTGAGCAAATGCCGACCAGCGTGCGCAGAGCCGCCAGCATGAGGTCGGCCTCGCCCGTGTCCAGCAGCCGTTGCAAGAGCTGCACCCCATTGCTCCGGAAGATCTTCTCGGCCCCAGCATCCTCCCGGGCCAGCACCACCAGGTTCTGGGAAGCCTGTGTCAAAGCAAGCGCATCACGGTGTGGACACTACACGCAGCACAGGCCAGGGCCAGCAGAGACCCCGTGCTCTGGATCTCACTGCTTCCACTTAGCACCTCGGAGACCTTGGCCATAAACTGAACCACTCTGAACTTCAGTTTCCTCCTCTATAAGTAGAAGGAAGAGCTTGCTCCCAGGATCAGTGGTTAAAGTAAATGGAGCCCCGAGTCCCTGGCAGAGCCTGTCTCCGTCACCTCTGTAGCCCTAGCACCTGGCAACTCAATGAACATAGGTTTCCTCTCCATGGCTCACACTCAGGCCCAGCCCCCGTAAGCTCTCACTGAGGCTCTGGGAGCTAGGCTGCCTGATCTGAGGGAGGCAGGAGTAGCTCTGGGCCAACATCAGCACCCAGGGAGGCCACTACAGAGGGGCAGCTCCGGTGCAAGGTCAGCCCCCACTCATTCAGTCCAGACCAGTACCTTCTGCTTTTTCTCGGTGCCTTTCTCTTGGGGGTCCAAGAGTATCTGAAACATCTGTTCCACTTTGGCGTCCGTCGAGGACATGTACCGCACCTACGACAAACCAACGAGGCGTGGAAGAAATCACTCTTTACGCCACGGATGTCACATTCCCTATCTGTTCTCCTCGGCTCCTTCCAGGGCCTGGCTCCAGTCTCCGGGAGGCACAGCTAGGACACCTGGGCTGAGGGCGGGCACCAAGCCACCTCGGGCAGGAAGAGACTCGCCTGGAAGCTTCACCCAAACTTCCCGCGGCTGTTTTCCTCTCCGAGCTGCTTCCTGCTTGGGCAGGACAGGTGGTGCCCATGCTGCAGGCAGTGCCATTCAGAAGGGCAGGCGTCTTGTTAGCCACGAGGCAACCCTCTCCCACAGGAGCCATCTATGTTGGGGCAGCGTCGGTGCTCTGCCCATGACCCTGAACTCAGCACTGACACCTGCTACAAGGAGCCAGAAGATCATGAGGTAGTTGCTACTACTCCCTGTGGCTCCAGAATTCTCCTGACAACATCTTCTTTGTTTTTTTTTTTTTTTTTTTTAACGTTTATCTGTTTTTGAAAGAAAGAGTGAGCAGGGAAAGAGCAGAAAGAGAGAGGGAGACAGAGGATCTGAAGCGGGCTCTGTGCTGACAGCAAAAAGCCTGATGCGGGGTTCGAACCCCCAAACCGTGAGATCATGACCTGGGCTGAAGCCAGACGCTTAAACGACGGAGCCACCCAGGCGCCCCTCAATCAGGTGCTCTGATTTCTGACAAGTTTGTCAAACCCAGGCACCTGGGTGGCTCAGTCGGTTAAGTATCCAGCTCAGCCCAGGTCATGATCTCACGGTTTGGGGGTTCGAACCCCGCATCAGGCTCTTTGCTATCAGCACAGAGCCCTCTTCAGATCCTCTATCTCCCTCTCCCTTTCTGCTCCTTCCCTGCTCACTCTCTCAAAAATAATAAATAAAAAATAAAATAATCGAATTAAGATGATCCTAGCCCCTCTTGCTGGTGGTAAGGCAAAGCTCCAATTTTTCATTACTATAAACAACGCTGAAATAAACATACACACACCTGCTTGTGTAGATGGGCAAAGCTTTTCTAGAGGAGGCAGCAAGGAGTAAATATACTGGATCACAGGATATGCTCATTTAAAATTTTAAGAGATATGCCAAAGGATGTACCAGTTTATACCAACGTCAGCAGTCATGAGCAAGCCCACCACTTAAGTGTCTGCCTCTGTAACGCTAGAAAAGGGTAAAAACTTTAAAAGTTTGCCAAATGAGTGCCTGGGTGGTTCAGCTGGTTAAGCATCTGACTTCAGCTCAGGTCATGATCTCAAGGTTTGGGAGTTTGAGCCCCGCGTCGGGTTCTGTGCTGATAGCTCAGAGCCTGGAGCCTGCTTCAGATTCTGGGTCTTCCTCTCTCTCTGCCCCTCCTCTGCTCACTCAATCTCTCTCTCTCTCTCTCTCTCTCACCGCACTTCCCTCCCCTGTGATTTACATACCTTCTCCTGAATCTGGCCGCCAATGTTCCTCAGGGCCTCCTGGAAAACTCTATTCTTGGGCTCCAGGCTCGCACATCTCTGCAGGTCAAGGACGGCCTGGTCAAGACGGCCCAGCTTCTCTAGGGCTTGGCTGCGCCGGTAAAGTGCTTTGACGTCCCCTCCATCCTTTTCGATGGCTGAGCACAAACGGGAGCTCTGTCAGCACCCATGAGGCCACCAATCTTCAGGCAAGAGCAGTGGGAAAAGATCTCGAGGGCCAGAGGAAGGTGGGGGGACAGATGTGGGACTCAGTAATCCAGCCTCAGAAAAGGTGAGGGTAGCTGCAGGGAAGGAAATGCCCGAGGAAGTGGGGAAGAAAGGAGGCAGGGGTGTTTCAGGACCAAAGGAGAAGGAGACCGTGAACATGCAGAGGCCCCAGATCCCTGCCCACCAGGCGAAGCCCCAGGCCTCCACAACCCCGCCCACAGGCCCCTACCTCTGGATGCTTCGGTTTCAGCTTTGTCATAATCCTCCTGCAAGAAAAGGTTCAGGGGCTTGAGAGGCTGGGCATCTCCTTTTCCTGGCAGTAGCTGGGCAGCAGGGTAGTTCCCTAGAGCCACTCGATTCCCTACCACCCGGAGGCCCAAGATAGCCCACTGTGGGTGCCCTGGGTGGGTGAATGCGCAGCCGGGACCCAAGCAGCAGCGAGGCGGGTAAACCGGGCCGGGGCAGGGCAGAGGCTGAGCAGCGGGCTCCCTCACCAGCTTCAGGTGGCAGGCGGCCCGGTTTCGGTGCAGGATGGCCTGGTCCTGAGGCGTCGCGCCCAGACCCAGGGCCTGAGTGTAGGCCGTCAGGGCGCCCTCGTAATCCCCGCATTTGAACAACTCGTTGCCCTCCTTCCGCAGCTGCTCCACTGAGCTGGCCTGTGAGGGGAATGGGTGGAAACATCGGGGAGCTGGGAGGGAGGAGACCGCAGGTCAGGGGCAAGTCCAACGGAGGGTCAAGACTCAGGGAGAAGGAGGCTCGGGAATGGTCAGAACAGGTGGGAAGTAGTGATGGCGCGGGGGGGACGGGTACGCACCCCGGGGGCAACCTGCCGGGGCTCGGGGGTACCTGGACCACTCACAGTCATCCCGCGGCCGGCGTCCAAGGCGCGCGCAGGCGCAGTCTCTGGGGCGGGGGTGGGTGGGATCAGGCTCAGGAATCCGGCGACGGCCGCCCCGCCCCTGTCCTGCGTCAGAGGCGGGGGCAGGAAGGGGCGGGGCCAAGGCGAGAGTGCGCCGGACGAGGGGCGGGGCTCGGGTCTGCGGCGCAGACTAGCGGTGGGCGCGCCTAGTACGTTCCCGCGGAGACCTGCAGGGGGCGCGCGGCGGAGGATCCGGAGGGCGGCCGGCTGCGACCAGGGCGCCGGCCTCCCGCTCTGCCGCGGCAGAAGTGCACGAGGTCGGCGGTCATCAGGGCCACGAGCAGCAGGGTGTAGAGGCCCAGCGCTAGGAGCGGGCCTGGGCCCCTGTGGGAGAGGCGACAGGGTCAAGGTGATGGCCCCCGCCGCGCACTCGCTGCTGCCGTCTGTGGCTTACAGAGCCCCCTAAGAGTCCGGAGGAAGCTCGGGACACCCCTCTTCCCGGGTGAAGGTAGAATTCGTAACCAGAAATCCAGGGGTTTCGCAGGTGCCGTGAAACCATCCACGGACAGAGTCAGGGTTGAAAACTCCGTCCATAACGGGTTTAATCCGCGGTCTACAAGGTCCGCTTAGTCTTGACACCGGCCCCCACCCCGCCCCAGCCCCGCGATGCGCGCCATGGCTCCCTGATTTCCCGTTTCCACAGCCCCCTTAACTTCCCTCCACAATCATTCCCGCGATTTTCTGTTCGGAGTCGGCCCCTCCACTAGTCTGTACGAGCCTCCCGCCCCAGAATTTAAAAACAGGGCCCCGGATGCTGGAGCACCCTGTCGGGGTCCCAGGGGCTCCGGGGCTGGAATTCTCACCTGAAGAGGGGTGCGGGCGGAAGGGCGGACAGGTTGACCCGGTACAAGGCCTCAAATTCCGCCCGGGTGCAGCAGGAGCCCCCTGCAGCCTGCAGGTGGCAGCAGTAAGCTTCCTCCGGGGTATCCGACAGCCGAGGACAGAAGAAACCAGGGTAGTGGCGACCCTCTGAGTCCCAGCTGGTCTGGCACAAGTGGGGGTGGTGGGCCAGTGCTGAAGGGAGGAGCATGGGGGCTGGAGACAGGCAAGGATGGGCTGCCCACACCCCACTTCGGCCCCTCTGGAGAGTGCAAAAGGATCATTCTCGAAAGGTCAGACCCCTTTCCTCCCCAGCAGCTCCCCAGAGCAGCCCATCCCGTGCTGAAATTCAAGGGGACCCGAAGAGGGGCGCGCGCAGAGGGGAGAGGAGAGCGCTGTACCTGAAAGAGAGGTTGGCTGAGCAGGCGTCACCCAGCTGGAGAGCAGCAGTAGCCCCGCGCTCAGGGCCGTCAGCAAAAGGCCCGGCCTCCTCTGAAAGCCCATGAGCCGTCACCTCCACCTCAGCCCTGGTCTTAGGGACCCCAGCATCTCTGTTTCTAAGCGGTGGCTTCAGACAGTAAGGAAATAAAAAGCCAAACTGTAAGGCCCCTGGGCACCATTGACGCAAACCTGAAGCTTCTCAGTCACCCACCCCTAGAGAGGGATGAAAGGGCCTGAGTGTCTGTTTTCTGTTGGAAAACGTGAAGACTGTGTCCCCAAGCTGCCGAAGGGTTTCTGAGCTGAAGGCGGAAGCACCAGCAGACTAGGGGGCAGAAGGAAGCGTGAGAGAGAAGCTGAGCCATGAGCCTGAGGAACAGACTAGCATTTCTCTCTACCCACTCTCACCTTCCAGGCTGCTGTGGAAGCTCTGGGAATTCGTATCGTTCCATTTGGCTCCAGGGACCGCAGTTACAGCTCTGGAGCTTTCCTCCCTAACTTCTGCATCATGACAACCACTAAGACAGGCTGAAAAACAAGGGCGAGGCCTTCCATTAACTTCTCCCTGGAGCCCCCGTCTCCCCCAGCTACCAGCCAACACACAAAAGCTCCCAGTCTCATCGGAGAACTTAGACTTCACAACTAGCCAGTCCCAGTGCACAGGAAAAGGTCTTCCGGGGTCTCCAGGTGCCTCTTACTCCTTGAACCTCATAGATACCATCTGCTGAGACAGGGAATTTCTCTAGGAGGTTGACAGCCACCAGCCAGCAGTGTTAAGTATTATTCTAGAACCTGCTGAGGCCTGACAATGTCCTGCTCCCAGAACAGGAAGACAACAGTTATCACCTGAGGGGCCCACAGCAGGTGCCTGGGGACTGAAGCTGGAACACTTACTGCACAAGAAAGAAATGCAAAAATGTTGTCCCCACACCTGAGAACAAAGAAGTCAGTTCTTGCAGAAATGTCACTGCTGCCTGCAAGTCTATTGGGCAGGTTGCTAGTGCAGGCTCCAATTTCCAGAAGGTCAGGCCCAGCGCATGCCCATAGCAACCAGTCCCCCCCCACACCACCACGCAGGGGAAACCATTTTTAGACCACTTTGAGAATTTTCAGATCATTGACCCATTGAAGATTGTCTTTTCATGGGAGGAGAGGATCCTCCTGGGAGAGGCTGTCTTTGACCCCAGAGGCTAGGTGAGTCGCCCTTCCTCCAAGGGACCATGGTCCCCTGTGTCTTCCAGCCCCGGGTCCCGCACACTGTGAGGACTCTTATTTCTTGTTTGTTTTTCTTCCTCCTTCCCCGAGACTGTGGGCTCCCAGCGAGGCCGGCCATGTTCTTCCTGCACCACCAGGCGAGCGCCTGCACAGGGGCTGCGATGCTGAGGGCAGCTCCCATCACCCGTTGCCCTCTCCGCCAGGATCCCAGCGGCAGAGAACCCGTCTGGGCCCGAGCCCCCAGTCATTCGGCCTCCGCGGCGCCAGGGGGCGCTGTGAACGCTCCGTCCCGGGCTCCAGGGGCTCCCGGGACCGCAGTCGCCCGCCCCACCCCAGCGATGGGCTCCGAGGCCACGCAGCTACTGGAGGCTGCCGACTTCGCGGCTCGCAAGCACCGACTGCAGCGACGGAAGGACCCCGACGGGACTCCCTACATCAACCACCCTATCGGTGGGCGCACCGCCTCGGGAGCACCCGCAACGGCGTCGAGGGGGTGGGGACCGGGAAGGGAACGCGGAGGGCCTACACCCCATTGAGCACCCTGCTCTGTACCCGGCTTTGTGCCAGGCACCTCTCGTGTTGAAGCCTCAAAACAACCCGGGGCCGTAGGCATGGCTGTTCCTCTGCACAGTTGACACCCAGAGTAAAGGACTTGCCCGAGGTCATCTGGCTAGTGAGAGGCCACCCCTGGCTCCACAAAATCCGCAACACGCAGCCTGGGACTCCCTCGGGTCTGATTTCCTGCTTTGCCCCGTCAGGTGTGGCTCGGATCCTGACCCATGAGGCGGGAGTCACTGACACTGTGGTGTTACAGGTAACTCTCCTCGTTCTCTGCTAGCAGGCTGGGGTGGGGATCAGGGGCCCCATCAGCCGTGACGCCACGCCTCGGCTGGAGTCGCGGGGCTAAATGGAAGCCTGTCCCCCAGGCAGCGCTGCTCCATGACACAGTGGAGGACACAGACACCACTTTGGATGAGGTGGAGCTGCACTTTGGGGCACAAGTGCGGCGCCTGGTGGAGGAGGTTACGGATGACAAGACTCTGCCCAAGCTGGAGAGAAAGCGGCTGCAGGTGGAGCAAGCGCCCCACAGCAGTCCCGGGGCTAAACTGGTGAAGCTGGCAGACAAGCTGTACAATCTGAGGGACCTGAACCGTTGCACCCCAGTGGGTACGCTCCCCCACCTGCCCTGAGGGGAAGGGGAGGGATGCCCACCTACTCCAGGCACAGGTTGATCAGTCTCCCTGGAAGAAAGAGAGCCGGCGCTTTCTTGTTGATTTCCCAAGCTAATACGAGACCACTCTGATCTCCTTTCCCACAGTAGAAATAGCAATAATCGGGCCGAGGGCAAGTGTTCTGGACAGATTCCACCAGGAACTCATCTCATGGCCCTGCGCCTTGCCCTCCAGGAAGTGGGCATAATCCAGTGCTGTTCTGGACAGCCATCAATTAAGAAAGCGTTAAAGCTCAAGTCCTGTGAGCAGTTTTCTGTCCATTCTCATGCAGGATGGTCTGAACATCGAGTCCAGGAATACTTCGAGTGGGCAGCGCAAGTGGTCAAGGGGCTTCAGGGAACAAACCGGCAGCTGGAAGAGGCTCTAAAGCAGCTGTTTAAGGAGCGAGGGCTGACACTCTGAGCAGTGCTTGGAGCCCAACCCCAGCCTTCCCCGGGCCAGAAAGGAGTCAGCCTTTCAGTGCCTCTGGATCTCACTCCGATTTATTGAGCCCAGATCTCTCTCAATGTTTCCTGCCAACTAAGCTGAGCCCTGGATTGAGGAAATCAGATGCAGCTCACCCATCCCTAATGCAGTCACTGCCCCTTCTCCTTGGGTCTGGCTGCCGTTTTGCTTGGGCAAAACTCTCCCCGCCCCTGCTCCAAGGATTTGGGCTTATATAAACACTCGTTCATACGTCATTATGAAAAATAAAGCATTTGGGTCAAGGTTTAAGTTCCTGCTGCTCCTTCCCCAGCCTCCTGAATGGAGCATTGGGGTGCGGGAGACCTGCCCTTCAGCATGGCAGGGTTTTGATTGTGTCACCCCCGGGGGAATGTTCCTCAGGTTGAATGTCTCAACCCTTCTGAGCCTAGTTTCCTTACCAGTGAGACAGGGTGTGTAATTATTAGGGTTAGAGTATGTGGTGTCTCAAATGGAGCCTGACACATAGGTGCTCAAAAAATGGTAGCAGCCTTCCTCCTTAGGAAAATGGGATGGGGTGGCAGACGTTTTGGAAGGGAATGCCACCTGCTTCGTGGCTGCCCTTGCTGAGCCCTGGAGAGACCCCAGCAGCAACACGGCCCGGCCGGTAGGGGACGGTCGCCCACCCCAGGTCTCAGCTCCGCCCCTCTGTCAGTGCCTTTGGTTGCTAAGTGACGTGAACTTCCGGGCACCTCCGGAAGTGGTCTGGAGCGGCCCAGCCGAGGGAGCCCTGGGGTGGGCGGGGTTTAAGAGGGGGCGGGCCGCTTCGTGGCGTCGGGGGTCAGAGGTCGTGAAGGGTTTTTGGTCGCTGCTGAGGCTTGTTAGCCCCTAGGGGCGGGCACGCCTGGGAGATCAGGAAATCGTTGTGAGGTCAAAGGCCATTCCGTGCTAGGTCACGACGGTTGTGTACCCAAAGAACACCCCATTGCAGTGTCTTTGGGGGGGGGTGGATGGTGAAGGGCAACAAGTGACTTTAAAGGGAAAGGAGTTCATTGGGGCGTCTGGGTGGCTCAGTCGGTTGAGCTTCCCATTTGCACTCAGGTCAAGACCTCATGGAACTTCTGAGTTGGACAGCGCAGAGCCTGGAGCCTGCTTTGGAGTCTGTGCCTCCCTCTCTGCCTGCACTCTGTCTCTCAAAGATAAATATTTAAAAAAAAAATTTTTAAGTAAGCATTTTTAAAAAAATACATAGGTGGCACCTGGGTGGGTCAGTCAATTAAGCGTGGGACTTGGGCTCAGGTCATGACCTCACACAGTCAGTGGGTTCAAGTCCGGCGAGTATACTCGTTTTTTAATAAAAACTATGCTTACCGAATGCAGGGGTAAATTGTCACAGGTGCTCACTGTTTCACAACACCATTTCACATGTGTTACTTCACCTGTTCTTTGTAATAACCAGATGCAACAGTGAAGGGGAGGGACACTGTTCTCAAGACCATGATGCCCTCCTTTTGCCCCACTACTAGGCCTTAAAAAAAATTTTTTTTTAAATTTATTTACTTACATATTTTTACGTAGTCCCTACATACATCCATCATGGGGCTGGAACTCACCATGCGAAGATCAAGAGTCACAGGCCCTACTGACTGAGCCGGTCAGATGCCCCCTACTGGGCATTTTTAACCAGACCATAGCGACCACACTGAGGTCAGCTCCACACTCCTGACATGGTAAAGATCAGGTCTGAAGTGGCTAGTAGGGCTGGATGGGTTATGAGTCCAAGGCCT